TTTTTAATTTACAGTCAATATTTATAATTGTAATGCCTTGTTTGATTGTTTCTATCTTTTGTTCAGTGCTTTGAGTTTCCTTTTGTTTTGACTGTGCTATACAAATAAACTTGCCTTGCCTATTGCAAAAAGTATGTCTCGACCAGTGAGTGATTCTGCAGAGGTTAAGTAGGTCAATAGGACTGTAAATGGACGTCATATAAACGTCAATATTTTGGTCATATAAGACGTCGAGAGGACGTCGGACCCGACCGGTTCTGTACCACATTGCAACCTTGTATGAAGTGGCCGCGACGTCATTTGAACGTCCAGATAACGTCCAGATGACGTTGAAATGACATAGTTTTGACATCTGCTTGCTTAGTGGGAACAACGGAAAACGAACGTCATATGAAGGCAATATTTTGGTCATATAAGACGTTGATAGGACGTCGGACCCGACCGGTTCTGTACCACATTGCAACCTTGAATGAACGTCCAGATGACGTTGAAATGACATAGTTTTGACATCTGCTTGCTTAGTGGGAACGACTGAAAACGAACGTCATATAAACGTCAATATTTTGGTCATATGAGACGTTGATAGGACGTCAGACCCGACCGGTTCCGTACCACATTCAAACCTTGAATTGACGTGCCATCAACGTAACATTTGGAGGTTGAAGTGACGTCGGGAAACGACGTCGAGAAAACTTTCATTCTGCACCCACCAGTGACCTATATTCTACGTCGGACAACGACGTTCAAATTACGTTGATTCAACGTCGGCTTGCTTAGTGGGTTGGCCGCGGAAGTACGAATCTGGGAAAATGACGCTACTTTACCAAACTTCTGCCGATGGTGCTGCGGGCACGGCCGACGCTGGCGATTGTCAACATTAAACCAACATCTGTGATCAAGCCTACGCCCCTTTGACACTGATTGGCCGAACGGTAGACGCTAATACTGATTACTGTGTGTGTCGCGTGTGTGACATGCAGTGAGTGAGTGATGCATTTAAGGTGGCTCTGACTTCACACCAGAAGTCCTGGCCAGCGTCGAAAGTGGCGGAAGTAGCAGGCGGACTTGGATGCTAACAGAGTTTAGCTAGCGGCTTCTTGTGTAAAGTCCATCTCCAATAACGCAGCTCTGCAGTGTCTCTGTGTCTAGAGACCTTCCACAGACTTTATGTAACAGTAGTATGTGTTCACGGAGGTGCGCAATAAGTTTATTTTATTATTAAACGGTACTTCCGCATCGGTGAACACACTCGAAGCCGTTGCATAAAGTCACAGGAGCATGACAACACATATATTCACAAGCACACAGTCCCCCATCGTCAACCCTGGTTTAGTCCTGGTGTAGCTCCTGTTTTGGCTGTTTACAGTATGTTCAGTCTGCTCGCTCAGACCACTAATGTCCCCGTGATCACTTTGCGGCTCTCTGATTGGTCGCTGCACGAACGTCCAAGGAAACTTTCAGCAATATTTATCTCCTTCAGATTCAGTTTATTTGCCATTTGCAGTAAAAAACACCACATTGGAATACATTAAGTACATTAAGTGCATGCGTCAAGTTTTCGCTCCTGCTCCTCCCCTTCAACTTTGCCACGCAGTTCGTGCGTCTCTACTGAGCAGTCCGTGCGTGCATTCCGAGACGCACATGCATTTTGACGCTCAAACGCTCGTCACCATTGCCGACGCAACGCATGATCCGGTCTGAACACAGCTTTACTTAACCGCTGTACGATATCAGTACTGTCTCACACTAATGAATGGATAAGATGGCATCTTTAAACCCAAGATAATTGAAACTCATTTATTAAACAAAACTGAAATTTTCCCGCTGTAGGATCTCTAACTGTGAAAAAAACTAAAAAAAAACTGGACTAGCAGCAATGAGCTAACACTACAGGGTACAGGGCAGGCCTTAGCTATTGGTCTATTGCTTATTATAATGAATCACTTTAATCGCCCTCACAATCACAGTATCAGAACACACTGAAGACATACCTCGAGATGACTGGAATTTGTTATTGATGTTTTTTACACAAAGTCCAGCTGCTGGACTAGTCTAGTCAAGGAGTTGAACTGACTACTCCTACTGTGAAGTGGAATGGATTAACTCTGCAAAGAAGAAGTGCTCACTTATACAGACCGGAGCAGATCTGTGAATAAAATGTTTGGGAAAGGGTCCGTTGTTCATGCACATATACAATTTATATTTTAAGATGAAAGCATGGGAGAAGAAACAACTGTTGTTTTGACTATGTGTGTATAAAGTCTGCATTTAAATTTTCAGCCTACATGTTTTTCATTCTCCTTTTGGATCAATAAAGTCACCTTTAAGCCTTGAAACTCTATTTCAAGGTCTAAAAGCAAAGGATCAAAACAACTGTGACTCCAGGTGAGGTGAGCGTCGAGAGACAGACGTAGCGTGACCACGTCCGCTCCACGCTTGTCTCCTGTGGTCACATTTGTCATGTTGCTGGCCGCTGCGGTGCGTCCTGGGTACAGCCTCATTTGTTCTGGCACAGAGCTTGTTTTTCTTTGGTCAGGGCAGTTAGCCGAGGTTCCAGTGCTTAGTGTGAAGACAAGAGGCCGGGAACCTCTGCACAGCATGTATTGGCCTGTTTCCTGCATGTGTTGTTCAATATTCGGCATTATTCGTTTGGCTCTTGATGAAAATGATTTATTTGATGTTTTAAAATGTGATTGAATTAGAATACAGTAACAGTTATTAATGGTATAATTTATGCTTGTTTCCAAAATGCCATTGCTTTAATTTCTTTACACCTCCAATGTTTTTGTTATTGAAACTGCATCACACAGTTATTATAGCTTTTAGCCAGAATTTAAAAAAGACTGCTCACTAACATGATGTGGCTCTTGAATACTAAAAGGGTCGAGGTGACATTCCTTTTTAAAAGACCTTGAAAAAGTAAAATAATGTGTGTATAATAAAAGAATACATTTTCGATTTTCTCTGGGGATTTTGAATGGAGATCTTTATTTATGAAAGCTCCACCCATTTCACAGTTCTATGTAATCTTGCAAATGTTGTCTTCAGTCCTATGTTAAGGCGTCAGATTAATTGCCAACCAAAATACAATTACAATTAACCCCTGTTTTGTCTGTTTGTGTCTCTCAAGATTGAAATCAAGTTCCCTCTCACCTGGTGGTCTCTGGAAGAGGATGTCCCGTGTGTGGGTCAGGAGCACGCGGACCTACAATAATTACCGGATAGGTACTATTGACTTATAAATGAATAACTAAATAAGACTAAATGGACTATCAAGAAATTTTCCCATTAGAACTCAATGTTAACAACAGCTCGATCACAGCTGACAGAATCACCTGATTGGACAGAAATCCCAATGATACCCATCTATGCACTTGAAAGAGAGCCACACACGCATCCTTGTTAGTATTTGGCACAAAGCATCATGGGAGGTTTTCCACTGCGCAAAACCGGGAGGACCAGAGGCATGACAAATATAGGTGGGCTCCGCTAATCTCTCATTGCTCTTGGGCTAGGTCTGGAGGAACACTTGGTTGTCACAGCTGTTTGTATCGTTTCCCTGTTTCTGGATCTTGATGCTCTTCTTTATCCAGCACTTGGACTTCTGATCAGTTAACTGTATCAGTTGTTTTTCAGATTCAGATTTACTTTTCCCTCTCGCAATCCACCCGTAATTTTTGCATTTGATTTGGTGTTCTGTTTTTTGTGGAAGGAAAACAGAATTAAAAAAGAGTAACCTCAATCATCAAATGTATGATTTTTTTGCATGATTTGCATTTTATTTCATATACAGTACATGAAAAAAGGACAAGGAGAAGTTAGTTCAATTTTGAGAGACTACAAGGGACAATATGCGTTTAGAAGATTTGTTGATTTGTTTGTAGTTTGCTAGTTCGGCGCACATGCCCTGGCTGTGGCCCGCTCTGAGAGGATCTGTGCTTGGGGGCAGATCAGGAACCCTGGGGCCTAGACACTGGGGGTTGCAACAGGGCAAGGTGGATGTGAGCGTGTGAAGAAATCCTGAGGCGGAGGTGGGAGGAGGTGATTGCCGCTTGCAAATCTGTTTGGTGTGCAGTGTCCAGCTTTTAAGCAGTGGCTGGATTAGCACAGCTGCAGGGAGATGATGAAGCTGATGTGAGCCTGGTGCGATGAAGTAAGTAGTCTACCAATTTGAACTTCCGCTTAAGTTTAATTCGTTTCAATGTGTGAGCGCGCCTGCAGTAAGTAACATCGCTGTCAAAGAAAGTATTGACTATTTGGGCACGAGGATAAAAAGAAAACCAACGGGTCAGAACAATTCAAGCTTGTGTACACAGCATCCCATTGAGCAAATACTTTTAAACAGTTTATGGCATCATAGAATACTCTGAATACGTTGTTAAAAAGTCATGTCTTGATATTGATTTTTAGTTTTCCATGCTGAACAATCTCCCTAAAATTAGGTGGCGTCAAAACTTTTTCATAAACAACTCTTTCATATGGAACTTTAGTCTTAAAGCGACAAGACGCCAAAAACTCGTACCTCAGCTTTAAATATAGAAGCTTTGTTTGTTTCAGTGTGCCCTCTCCTCACATTTTTCAGCAACACTATTGTTATCTGTTCATTTGCTAACTTCATATGTCTCTAAGAGAGCATTCACTCTGTGGAGGAAGTTCTTTTTGACCGTTTGTATCTACTACTTTTCTCATTTGGGTCTTTCCCCAATATCCATGACCATAACAAACTGTGGGGACGCTGAAAGAGCTTTGTCTTTCGACCACACCACAGCAGGAGCCTCACACCCCATTCTTTCTTTTTGTAAACACATGAGGAAGGACCTCTGCACCACCTGGAGAGGGCAAGGACCTTTTGCAAGGACAGTGGCCTGAACCATGGCCTTTCAGGGAGCTGATCTCCAACCCGCAAACCACATAGACAGAGACTCCAGAGAGCCTCATCAAAAACACCTCAGGAAACAAGCTCAAAGTCTTCTCATGTTATTGATGTGAGTGTCACTGACCGGGTTCCTCATCACCACTGCAGGGTTGTTGACCACGGCCACCAGGTAGAGGATGGTCAGCGCCGAGTTCAGCACGTATGAGCAAAACAGGTTTTTATGGAGCGTGATCCTCTGGCAGCTCAGGCTCCTGTTGGCACATTTATAAGATTTGATTAGCTCTGTTGTTAGAATGTCTTTACAAACATCCACATACTTATCAGCTTGAGATTGTGCAACTTTACAACCTTCTACAAATGTACAGGGTATGAACACAACATGTCTGTTCTGTCAATCTGCTGCAGGGGCAACTGAGAGAGTGCCAGAATAATGCATGCTATGGCTGATATATCTGGAACTTAAATCCAACAGTCTACTGCTTTGGCGGTTTAAAGTCTAAATTATTCTTCAAAACGTTTTTTGTTTTTTAAATGTGAGTCCATCCTTTCCACAGACATTTGTAAGATGACATTTGGACCACTGCAAGTCTTTGTACGCTGGGAGAGAGTATTCAGAAGGCTGTCACTCACCTGCTGACCACAACAAAGCACATTACACCTGCCCTTTTTCTGTCATAGACAAGGAGCTGCGTTCAACCAGTCAGCCTGTTTATGCTTTTGTCGCAGCATGAATATATCAATCCGCAAAACACAATATTTCTATCTGGTTGTGACATTCCCTGCAACTTTCCTGTGCACCCAGGAATTGAACTCTTTGGCACCTTTAACATGCTTCATTGTACGAGGGACAAGGGGGCCTGAGAGGTCGGGCCCAACTGCTATAACAGCTTTTGAAATACAGATGCAAAAGGGTGTGAGGCTGAGAGCAGGTGGTAGAGCTGAAGACATGTATTTATTGTGTTATTACAGTTTAAACTGTAAATTCCTATTTGTTGTTGATATGCAGTGGTGTCACTTTCAGGAAATTCTGATCGATTCTCTACCTGTCCATTAAACCCAATAAATAGGCAAGGCAAGTTTATTTGTATAGCACAATTCATACACAAGGCAATTCAAAGTGCTGAACAAAAATAAGAAAGCATTGAAATCATAAATAATCACAGAACATTAAAAAGAAAGATACAAATATAAAATCCCTCAGTTGTATGCACAGCTAAACAGAACTGTCTTTAACCTGATTTTAAACACTGTCAGAGAGGAGGCCTGTCTCACATCTTCAGGAAGATTGTTCCAGATTTTAGCAGCATGAATCTGAAAAGCAGCCTCCCCATGTTTAGTTCTGACTCTGGGCACTAACAGGAGTCCAGTCCCTGTGCTCCTCAGAGTCCGGGCTGGTTCATATGGGACTAACATGTCACTAATATATTTTGGTGCGAGGCCATGGAGAGATTTGTACACAAGCAGAGCTGTTTTAAAGTCTATTCTCTGAGCCACAGGAAGCCAGTGCAGAGACCTGAGGACTGGACTAATGTGGTCGTACTTCCTGGTTCTAGTCAGGACTCGAGCTGCTAAATAGCGAACTATCTAAATGACGTCACTAAGACACGCCCCCGCCGCCTGTCAACTCCCGCCCACATGTTTCGGACAAACACTGCCAAAATGAATCAAATACCACTTGTCACTTTAGACGAAAATGATATACCAGGGGCAAAATTCCACCATCAAACCATCAGGGATCATAGTGTAGACCAATTATAACGTTGGCTTGAATGTTGTGGTCTTCCAGTAACTGGTAGAAAGTTTGATTTGATAAAAAGGTAATGGTGAGGATTATGCTAACATTATCTAGTCATTTAAATTGCAATGCTAGCGCCTTCTTTGTTTGTTTTGCTGTGATTAACTTCCATTTATAAAGTTGTTTTTGCACTATCCACTTTGTAATTAGTTTGATCATTAGTTAGCTACAGTCAGCTGATATTATAATAAATCCATGATCACAACGGGTTACGCCACTGTCTCTGAGAGAAACTATCAGAGCTAGCCACACTCAGTAAACGCAAATGACAATCAATCAACACATTTAAATGTTAATGGGAGAATACATTATACACATTCATAACACAAGTGCACGGAGGTTTTCAGAATTAACTGTTCAGGTTTTCATGACAAAAATACTTTTTTAATGCGACTAAAGCGATCGCTTTTAGGTTAACTATCCTCACTGTTACTCGCCTGCCACGGGAAAACCTTTGGGAACTATTTTCTTTGCACTCATTAAATAAACCTTTCGGCATGAGTAGTGAATGACGTTTATTTTGTGTGTTCAATTGGTACAAAGCCGTATAATAAGCAGACACAAAGTTGAAAAAAATCCCTCTCATCTTTCTTCAGGTGTGAGAATTGTATACTTTCTGGATTAGGACAAACAATACTAATATGGATTGATGGGGGTAAATGGTGTAAAGAGAAAGTTTGTGCTAACTACATTCAGAAGAGCTCAGACGGACCTGATACAGCGGTCCAGATCCAGTCCCAGCTAAACGTAGCTAGGACTGGATCTGGATGCTCCACAGTTGGTCCAGCGAAGTGTTTTGAAAAAACATGTGCCCTTTTTAACCTTTTCATGAGAGAAATTCTGCCGACCACAAGCACCCACCTGGTCTGATCTGGTCCTGGTCTGGTCCTGGTCTGGTCCGATGTTGTGGTTTAACGAACGGGTTGAATGTTACTTTCATATAGTCCTTTTCAGAGTATCTGAAATCGCTCCGACAAGCACCATAACTGCAGTGTTTTGTTGTCACCATGATTCAATGATTTAGCCCAAATAAATACACACGCGTATGAGGAGAACACAGTAGAACTCAACGAGTCGTACACAATGTTTGTCCGAAACATGCGCGCATGCGCAGTCATCTGAGCTATTTTTAGCACATTTCGGAAACCGGACAGTGCCCTATAGTGTAGTTGGACAGAGATACACATTTATTAGTGTGAATCTCACTAGGCTGCTCAAATAAAAAACCTTCAGATTTAAAAAGCTGACATAAAATACTGATGTTATTGTGGAAAAAGCTATTTTCAACTGCGGGTCTGCTTTGCTGAGTTTTTGTTTGTGTATTAAGTCTTGAATAAATGAGCCAAGTCAAGTTGGGATTCCGTTTCAATTGTGAAATATTGCCCTAATCTCCATGGAGACGGCAGCTGAGACCTTCCAGCAGAACCTTAGAGTGCATCTTGACTTCAGCATGGTGTTATTATACTTGACGAATGACAGCGGTAAAAGCACATACTGTTGTGAGCACATCTGGAACTAATTGGTATAATATATTTACTGAGTCCAGACAAGAATCCTCCTCCTCTGAGAGCGAACTCTGGGGTGGGTCATTTTCCACTAAGACTACATTCTACGAGTGAGTTATGAATTTGTGCTATTTGTGTCTTTAGGGAAGAATAGAGCAGGGAATCACAAAGACTGCAATCATTTTTGAACAAGAAGATCGAAGGCCAGTGATTAGCCGGCCTTCTATACACTGATAATCTAAGACACATTGTGGTCTAAAAGTGTGAAGCCAAAAAGGTTGTGTCCCGGACCAAAGTGCTTTTTTGTGACATTCTAAAACTACAGTGTGATGCCTGTTTACAAAATGCCCACTGAACGCATTTAAACTGCTCAAACCTTTGTCGGTAAAATAGCAATGAAATATAGTTCTAAAAATGTGTAGCCATAGAATAGAAGCGTGGCGCAGATGTGAGCAGGTCACAATGACTCGCGGGGGAGGAGGTGTACCTGGCACAGTCCTGTTCCACACTACATCACTAAAGCGCACACAGCACACTACACACACGCACACACACACACTACACACACGCACACACACACACACAAACACACGCTCACACACACACTACACACACGCACACACACACACAAACACACACACACACACACTACACACACACACGCACACGCACACACACACAAACACACTACACACACGCACACACACACTACACACACACACACACACTACACACATGCACACACACACACACGCACACACACACACAAACACATCAGGTCTGAGTGACAAATAAGGACCTACAACAAACACATCAGGTCTGAGTGAGATATAAGGACCTACAACAAACACATCAGGTCTGACCACAACCTATACGCTCCTCCTCCTCCACACACTCTGACCACAACAAGGGGTTTTAAGCCCAAAATCCACTGCACTCACAGTGGACGCTAAAGCTGAGCATACAGTGTTTGCTAATGCTTTTATAATATGTTTCTGATGTGGATATTCGGACTCAACATTGACAATAACAGCGCTCACACACCTGTCTCGCTGCTCCTCCTCTTCCTCCTCTGCTCACACACCTCTGTCTCCTCCTCCTCACAGAGAAGATGCAAGTATCCATCTCTCCGTACACTGGGTTCATTCCCGTTACTTTCTTTGTTCCTCACTCAGACCCAGACACTGCTAAAGTTATCTGACAGCTCTGTTAAGTTTGTTTCGGAGGACCCGCAGCGTACATAGCTGCCCTCGCGCCTGCCTGTTTACAAATTGCTTTTGGTGAAAATTTGACTTTACTTTTATAATAATGTACTTTTGATCAAAAGAAATCACAGAGGTCCAGAAAAAGGGGTTTAGGGGTCCGAACTTGGAGCGCAGTCCGCCCTTTGGGGACCCTTGAACTAGTGTATTATAAAAAATAAAAAGGAAGGAAGATTGTGAGGCCCTGTGCGACGGCACAGGTTGCACAGCCCCTCTGACGGGCCGGCATCTTCACGGGAAGATGTATCTTGTTTAATGCTACTGAATGAAAATCCTTAATCCTTAATATAAAAGGCCTCTCTGAGATGTTTTTCACGTCTGGCCGGGGAGATGTTGATGTGATGTGTGCAGAAAACTTGAGTTTACATCTACAAAGCTAGTTTTGTCTTTACCCAGTATGATTGCTACTTTACTCAAGCTCCAATAGAAACTTTAGAACACTAATGATCCACTTGTTTGATCTGGCCCACGATTTTATTCCAAAAGTCTGAGGATCAAAAGAATAAATCAAAAAGATTTGTGTTTGGGATGGATATGTTTCTGCTTCTATATATCTATTTATCCATCCATCCATCCTTCCATCTATGGACTCGGACACTTCCTGAGGCTCCATAATCCAGCTCTGTGGTTTGACTTTGTACCAGTTATGTACGAAGTTACAAGACAAAACACACTTACATCAATGGAAACAGCTGCACTTCATACAAAACAATTGCATTTTATTTTCAGTATAGTCTTTGGATGACACACTTTAATATAATATCACCTTTAACGCAAAGCAAAACAATGTCTAATAAATATTTTGACTTTGCGTTGGAGATTTGAAGTTGGCCCATGACGTACAATTTGTATCACCAAAAATAAAAAGACTTCTCCCCTGAACATTGCTTATTCAGTGAAATACATCCATTTGTTTCAAAAGATGCATTTCATTATTTTCTTTTAGACTTTTCTTGAACATGACATTGAATCACCATGGCAACAGAACATGGCGATGTCATTCTGTTTGTCGAAGCGGAACATTCTATCACCACAGCAACCAACACCCTGTCATCGTAACCATGGCTCTGAAAAGTTCATGTGTGTGAAGAAAGACAAGACAAGTGACTTAAACAAACCCGAGGGAAATCAAGGATCAAAGCCCAAATTGACAAAGCAAAGCAATCGATACAACACTGACAAGATGTGGTGTTTTAGAAGAAACAGGAGTAAAAAGGAGCTTTACAAAGCCATGGTGGACAATTTGGTTCTTGCGGAGGAATCAAACCAGGCTTTGTTGGCTGAGGTCAAGAAACTGAAAGAGGAGAAGAGTGTCCTGGTCAAGGCTCAGGAAGAGGAAACATGCAGACTGAAGGAACAGGTGATACAGCTGCAAACGGAGAAGTCTGCTCTGGAGAGGGACTTTTTGGAGTCCACCGCTTTCAACCGGCACCAACTTGAAACCACCCTCCAGGAGAAAACCAGCCTTGAACTCTCACTGCAACAAACCACTGCAGAGCTGCAGACCGTACAGCAGAGGCTGAGGACTTTGGAGAAGCGTGCTGAAGAGGACAGGCGAAGGAAGGACTCCATCATCAAAGGTATGGACACACATCTCTCAAAAGTTGACCATGAAAACATTAGAAGTAATGAATTTTCTCTTCTAGATGCTGAACATTATATGAAGGAGCTGGAGACCAAAATGCAGGACCAGGAGATGCACCTGAAGAAAGGTAATTATTAGCTGGAGGAAAAATTGCTCAGGCTTCTCAAAGAGATGTAGGAGTTTAGAGAGAACTTTGTCCTGAAAAACTCTGTTTTTGCAGAAATGGAGGAGGAGATGAGCAAATGTAAGGCTCAGAAGGCGGAAACAGAAAAGCTGAAGGAGCAGGTGACACAGCTGCAAACGGAGAAATCTTCTCTGGAGAAGGACTGTTTGGATTCCACCAATTACATCCAGCTCCAACTCAAAACCACCGTCCAGGAGAAAACCAGCCTTCAACTTTCCCTGCAAAAAACCACCGCAGAGTTGCATACGACAAAGGGTGAGGTGCGGGACCTAAAAGAGGCCTGTGCCAGGTGTGAGGACAGGAACAAGGAGGTCACCAACTTCTCCAAGATCCTGAAGGAGGAGAACAAGTCCAGGAGATAATGAAAGAGGCCGTCGACGAGAACCTAAACCTGAAATATGAACTGAACTTTCTGAAGAAGAATCAGTCAAAGCAGCAGACCCAGGACCCTCAGGAGGGCCTCACTCCACACTATCCTCAGCAGATGCAGAGACGCAGTCGTCAAAAGACAGACGTCTACAGACGGGTCTGTTACGGTCCCAAGAACTAAGACCAAGTTTTGAATGAACTACCCCCCCTCCCCTCCCCTCCCCCTCCCTCCCCCTAAACCTTCCCTCGACCCTTTTCACAACAAACGGCACATTGGATCCTGACCCACAACCCTTACAGAGTCACAGTGACTGGAGTTAAACCTCCACATGCTCCAAGTATTTAATACTTATGAATATTGTGTCCGTTTGGTCATGAGGCTAACGGCTAACAGCTAGTGCTCGCTGCCTCTGATGGCAAAGAGTAATGTCAGTGATTAGAGACCGCTGTAAGACCAGACGCAACAGTGGGACGACTGCGGCTGTAAAGTGCCACATTGTCGTTGTGTTCTTTAGCAAGACACTTCACCCACAAGTATGAATGGGTGTGTGTGTACGTGGTGGTTAGAGGGACCGACTCAGGTTGGCAGCCTCCGTAGTCTGTCCCAGGGCAGCTATGGCTACAGTAGTAGCTGACCGTACCACCATGAATGGTATGAATGAATTGCGGTTTTGTTTTGATGATAATAATACTTGACAGCATTAATGCATTACGTTTTAACTGTTTCACCCTGATCTCTCTGGCGCCATCTAGAGGATCTGCTAAACAAAACGTAGACTCAATGACCGAATGTATAAACTGAAAGATCTTAGGTTTAAACGCAGAGGACTCCAGAGCTGACAACCTGTGCTCATGAAGGAACCAGTGTGTGCAGTGTCCAAATGTGAAAAGGGTCCATCCCCCCCCCCTTCCCTCCCTGCAACAAAAATATATATAAATAAACAATAGTAACTGTGTTACATAGCTGAACCAACAAGCTCATT